ACACTCTTTATTAAGCTATCTTCACTGTATCAGCAACCTCAGCAGTCGTTACAATTATTCTTATTAAAATAGAAAATGAATATGACAATTTAATGGGTTATTTTGTTACAAATCCAACCAGGTAAAAGGGATCTGCTTAGGTGGTATTTTCTTTTTAAATTATTGAAATAAGGCAAAATATATCCCATAAAAATCATAATAATTGCATTTGCATTGAATAAAAAAAACTATAGCACCTCGAGTATGTGTAAGTGTAACAAAATATGCATCATGCTTCATAACAACTTCAGTCCTAGTCTCATTGATAGTTTGTTTGCCGTTTTGTTTGTGGAAAGATAGTTTTGCAGTTCACCGTTTCAGACGCACCACCATCGTACGGCTCAGATTTCCCTCTAAACTACATTTGTTTTAAACAGATTTTTTACATTAAATTTGTCTAAAGCGTGTTTATGGTTTTTAAATCATGCAACAAGTGACTAATCTGCCGAGTGAGGAAAAAGAGGTGCATACCAGGTTTAAATGTAGTTTTTTCCATTTTGAAATGAGAATAATTTATTTCAAATTCGAACAACCAGTATATTTTGAAGAGATTTGGTATAGTAATAACACTAGCTTTCAATGATAGCGATCCATGAACATCAAATATATATACGATAATTGTCCATCAAACATTTACAGCGACTATTTCATTTTTACTTTTTTAACTGAAAACACAACTATAATGGTGGTATCGTTAACTAAATATAGTTTACCAAGCGACCCTCTTGAGGGTACAACACTATTGAGAGACAAGCCCTAACAAACGACATCCAAGGGGATATGTTCAACACAGTGACTTGGAAGATTTACTGGCTTAGTTAGGGAACAGATAAAGCAAATACAGTCTGCTGCGAACACTATACATAAAGAATATGCCTCCACGGACATGTTTTATAATAAAACAATTGTGTTTAATGCATATTTTTTAGATTTTTACTAACCATTAACTAGATAAGTTACGAGTAAAAGCTTGTGATTGACACGAGTGGTTGAATAAAAACCCCAATACAAGAAAACTTCTATGATACGTTCATTACCTAACCTGTGTTCACTTTCAGAAGACATTTACTACAACTGGCTAAAACTTTTGTAATTTCTACTTCAGCACCCAAAGTAAATGGTTGTAGAGAAAAATTGTAGAGTCTTATACGTGTAATCTAGTTGTTGTGAATAGCTCAATTGTAATGTAAAATATTATTGATATTATTGAAGTAGTGATAATCAAATTGAAACCGAAACTTAAAAAACCGAATTCCTAGTCATGAAAAATGCCTAGTTTCGTCAAATGGTAAGGTTGTAGAAACTACTCAATTAGAGAGTAACACGCTAATACTGAGTTTAAAGTTTAAAATATAAACACTGCTAATACTGTAATACTGTATTTTGAATTTCTCAAATATTTCTGAAAATTTAGAGAGGTTGATGAATGCTGATGGCGGGAATTTCAGGTATCAAAACTGACCAATGACGCAGGATACGACACTAGACAAATTATAGGCCTATGGTAATCGTATTCTATAATAATTATACCTAACACCATTTAGGCTACCCATCGATTGTATCTTGCTTGGTTTATTCAATCAAAAGAGTCATAAACTGATTGAATTTGTGGCTTTCGATCGTATTACTGTGCTGAATATAAAGTATTCTATAATAATCATACCTAACACCATTTAGGCTACCCATCGATTGTATCTTGCTTGGTTTATTCAATCAACAGAGTCATAAACTGATTTAATTTGTGGCTTTCGATCGTATTACTGTGCTGAATATAAAGTATGTTGTAATTATTTTGTTTTGCAGCTTCAGCCACTTCAATAATCCTTGACAATTTTTAGCCACAAAAGTCCGGATAAGACCAAGAGGAAAGCTAAGCTGGATGTCAGAGATAAGTGAAAGGAACTACTTTAGACTGTAAGTTCTCAAGTCTCCATCAGCCATCGATTGAACTGCGTCTGCTGCGTCCACTCTTTCACCCTCGTCGACACTTTTCCCCATTGAAACATTTATATAGACAACCCAAAAACTGCTTATAAATTGTACTGTTATCATATGTATTGTGGTCACTTAAAGTGTGATTCCTATATCTGTATACGATGTGATATGTTTTCAATTCTGATTTTAAACGTTCTCGATTGTGGATCAAACATTTCACTATCGATGACTACGAGCAACCTCGAGACGTAAGAACAAATAATGTTGTTTTAAAATTAAACTGGAGGCAGGATTACTGTAGATAAATTTGGTTTTGCAAAGTCAAACAAGCCAATCTATGCAATGTACATTACGTAGCGGCAATGTAGTCAAGCCCTCATTGATTATTTATGTGTCAATTTCAGAGAGGTGATTACATTTTCAATATACTCAACTATCTCTACCTTGTATGAGCACTATAGGATCATGGCGTGCTGTCACAATATTCTTTAATATATACGAACATGTTACCATAATAGTGTGGAAAAGTCCAACGTTTCCAATAAATACTAGGACAAGGTTAAAGTTTTTATTTAACTTCACGTATTCATTAATATATTTTACCTACAAAACCGTTCGGGTTTCCTTACAGTTTTCAACGCAAACAATTTTAAGTTATCAAATAAATCATCTTGTTCGACAATTTAATACTACATTAAAATTAGGCAACCACAAATAATAACAATTAACCGAATATATTACTCACTAACCTCTTTGAGTATATGTAAAAAATCTTGGATATATAGAAAGTAAAAAAAAAACCACGTAATTATAAATTACATTTTTATACTGGTTAAAACGCTTTTTGTACATGTTAGATTTTTAAAATTTACAACGCAAAATGCATTTCTACGTTAGTTAATTCATGCATAAGTAAGTTTATTCTGAATAAAAAAAAAATATTGTGGAAATTAAGTAATTGTAAAAATTAATTGTATTGTTTTTACATACTATTATTTGTAGCAAGGGCAAACCAGTTGCAAAGCTACAGCATCCAAAATACGGTATCCCGGAAGTTCTGGTGTGGTCCAACCACGACTGTGAATATAAATATCAGCTGTTTCATGGCTCCAACGTCTGTTTACAGCTGAACAGCTGACCAAATACCCGCCAAAACCTTCTACGTAGGCGTAAACAGGTGATTAGCTAAACACGGACTCAAAGTTGATTACAAACAGCCTGCAACGTGGATTGATCAAAACAAGCAACATCGTATACCATTTCTCGGCGTTTGTTTAATAGCCTACTACATTTACTTACCCTACACTGTACTGTATACTCACTGTGTTGCACCGGTTTGAATGTTCCAAGTAAAAACGTTTTATATCTATTTTCGTTTTACGTTGTCATATGTTTACTTATTTATTATTTTTGTAACTGGAGATTATTATTGTTTTTTTTTAATTAGGCTATAGACAAACCTCACAACTATTACTTCCCAACGTATTCAATTTATGAAGGATTTTTTAAATTAGCATTTGTTTATAAGAAAAAATATTAATAGCTGATAATTAAGTTATAACATATCAATAATATGATGTGATTGATCTGGTTCTTTCACAAATCAAAGGTATGCACATCGTTGGTCAGTACCGGGGGACCGAGCCTTGCTTGGCTGCTCTGTTGATTTGGTTTAATCATTCAAACAATATCGTAAACACATTTTATGATTTACGACACATTATATAATTAACTAAAAACATTTTTAATACAATCCATACATTTAATTAATGAAATAATAACTCTGTAATGTTAAGTTGCAACAAAATTCAACAAAACATAAATAAGATATACTTTTATGATCTTGCTTCAGTTAATCAAACGAACAAATAATTTATACATTCAAGAGTTTCCACATTACAACACCTTAGTTTCAATAATACCTGTTTCATTAACGTGTTTCTGAGTTTGTGGTTTGATATACAGTATTTATATTTTGAGTATGGGTTATATTAAATGTTCCTATAAAAAAATGTTCCTATGACAAATTTCCTATAGGAAATGCTGCAGGTGTGTTTTAGGAAAGGGTGTATGTTAGGAAATGTTTTATTCAATCCCATTATAGTTATTTACAGTTTGAAAATTTAGTTACCAAAATAATGAAGATTTACCCAAAGTAATATTGTAGGAATTCAATCAAAATATCTTCAAGTCCCCATAGTCTCCTAAAATCCTTCTGATGTTATTCCAACTTTTACAGACAGAATTACAGGACATTTTACAAATAACCCGCAGAGGAAATAAATAACAATCAATGTCACGTGTGTTAGAAACCCAGATGGCGTATCACAAATAACACATCGATGTTGTGTATGTAGGCTGGCTACCATCCAAGTCAATATTGCACATAACTCTCTCACAGACAGCTTACAACTGCGCTAGGCCACTAGCCGCCACTGCAATTCATTAAACCAAGTTGTATCTTGATAAAATTCGGAGTTTACGTTTCATTTTAGTAACCAGGGATAGTTTGTTTACAATTTGTTTGACAGTGTTAGTCATGTCCTTCTCAAACAATATTGTGACTACGTTGTGGTTTTCTGTAGCAGTACATTAAAGGTAGTAGGCTAAACATGATCACACAATAATTGAAAATGTTGTGTTTTTAGAAAAATAAATTGTAACTACAATTTCTTTTCTATAAACTATTTTATTAGACATAATTATATTTTTTAACCCAATGTGGTTCAAAATTAAGGTTTTTTCAATAGTTCTTAGGTTCCCAGAAAACCAGATCATTGAGCAACATTTCAACAAGATTTCTTAGTTGCGCTATAGGTGTGAAGTGTAGAGATAATCTGGAATGGAGCCAACTAAACACGAAACACACAGTAGTACAGCATTGTTGAGAAGAATAGTTAGCGAAAGAGCCGCCAGGTAGCACAGGTTACACTGTTGCGAGCGCTCCAAACGGCGCGTTGGTCAACTACCAAGTTTGTAGTGAGTGGGGCGAAATGCCAGATTGTAACGGAACGCGCGGTGGAAGGTAGTGGAGGTTATACAAACGTTAGCGTATCTTTAAAAGTTTGAAAGTTTTTCTAACTTGAATGCTCGCACATATTGAGTGTAAAGTGGTCTTTGACAACTGTCGGAGTGTTCAGTGATAGTGTTTCTTCCATTATGCAGCAGTTTGACCTTAGTTTTGGTTCAGAAAGTGACAGCATTTCAAAGTTTTGTAGACAGGTGAGAAAATGCTCAGGTGAATCGTGACGAAACAAGCGAGCGAACGACCGGGTAATTTTAAAGTATGCCGTTTGTTTTAAGTGGATTACAAAAAAATTATATAAAGAAGTAGTGATACACTATGGTTTTTAGGAAGTTTAGGAGTTGAAATAAGTACAGGAGCCTAAAGGTACGTAGGCTTGTCAGGTAGACAGGCCTACACAAAGGAATGGTTAGACTGAATCGCTTATCTAGGCGAAGGACTAGTTGTAGTGAAATGGAAGAGAAAGAAAGATTAACTAAAACATATTGTTGTTGTAGTGCTGTTCGCGATAGTGATAGTTATATGTTTTGCCGAAAAAATATAGTGTGCTTCTTGGTTTGTGGGATTATTTTGCTGGGATCATCTGTCAGTGCAGGTAATTATTTCCTAACAGTTTTGTACTACATTATGAGTTTATTTACGTTATTGAACTGTAATTAATATTTCGTCTGAGTTAAAGTTTTGTTATCATGATAAGGTATATTATGTAAGTTATTTAAGGCTTTCAAAATGCATAAGGTAAAATAATATGTGCTAAAGTGTTAAGTTAATGATTGTATTTTGATTTTTTTCTTTGCAATTTAATTAGGATTACCACCCTTACAATTTTGTAAAAGCTAATATTAACCGCACATTTTTTAAGTTTACTTTTATCTTCATTACATTACTTACATAACTTACATAACTTAGTTAAATCATAAAACACTAAATTACATACATACAACAGTTTGACATACAGGTAACGTAATAGCATAGATTAAGATAATACCTTTTTAAGATTTGAAATTTATTTGATTTGACTTAATAGAGAAAGTTTTTACAGAGTGCCTCGGTAACCTGTAAGTTTCCTACAACTTTTAAACTCACGAAATTTCAGATTATGTACATATTTACCAGTACGTCTAAAATTTTCATGACGCGATCAGACATTTGAGTTGCTGTAATCAGAAAAACAAAAACAATTCAGATTGGATTGTAACAAATTATAAAAATTAGGCCTAGGCTAGCTTTTAATTTTTAGAGGCCCAAGGTTAGTTGACTTCACTCACCACTTCATCACAAGTAGGGTAAGAGCAAAAAATAGGGCTGGGATGTTTTTCAAATGCTTCTGCAGGCGGTCGAGCAGCTGTCTGGCAGGTTTTGGTCTTTCAACCCTCCTGCGGACATCAACAATGGACTAATGTGTAGCATGTCGACGTCATAAGTGAGGTCCTGCATCTTAGCTAATCTTATGGCGTTTTGCCATTTTGTTGTGGTGTTTCCAATTAAGCTTGTCCAAGGGCTTCGCGTCCTATAATATGATGATGTGTCAAACGTGCGTCTACAAATACGCATAGTGACATATAATATTTTCTATGAATGAGAAATCGAATGCGTAACGATATATTATTGTGACAGTTATTTGGCATCTAGATCATAATATATTTAGAAGATGCATGTGTACAATGTTGCCGTTGTTCCTTTGAGTACTGAAGGCGTTTCAGTGGTCCACTGCCACAGTGTATATTTAATTTTCGCCTCGCCCTAGTTCACATATGCACCGGCACGAGCGTAGACGAAAAAATAGCATACACTAATGCGGGATCTAACAATATAGGCTAGTCTTCTCTTAATCTCCATAATCTTAACGAGCTAATCAGAATAAATTATATCGGCAATCTAGAGTTACTACCTAATATGTGACACATAATGTAACAATATATCCCTTGTTTTAATTGTTCGGTTTAGGAAATGCAAGCTTAATCACATCTGATAAAACTTACTCAAACTTCTTATAAGACTGTTTAACTTCAATAAATCTACGATACTGATTTTCATGAGCAAAATTAGTTAAATTGTTTTTTCAAACAAACGTTTGGAGGTAGATTATTTTACGCTTAAACTATATTTTTAGCAAGGGATGGGCTACCTATTTTGGTTTAAATGTTGTCTAGTCTATTCGTGGAAAGTATTCGACGAGACTATTTGTGCACTTTAAGCAATTTTAATTTTCTGTTAAAATGCAGTAGGCCCCTACTTCACTCCTAGTTTCTGTATTTTTGATTAGTCATTGCAGTTTAGTGTATTCCTCGCACTTTCTTGTACAGTACCCGACAGAGCTCAGTGGTTCGCCAAACTTATCCCCAGACGCGTAAATCACTCCGTCTGTTCTCTTGTTCTCCCTTTGTCGCTTTTTTGTTTTCTGGAATGGCTTCCGCTTTGGAATGGGTTTGCTCTGGTCCATTTGCATTATTAACGAATTTAAAGGAATGTACTTGTAGGGTGTTAAGATCCAAACGTCTCTTAAAGGGTAGGTTCTGCTTCACTTTCGCTCATTGATATAACTTAACAATGATTAAACGCGTCAACATTTTTATCAACTAAGTAGGTAGGCCTACCTATATTTCTGCCAGATTGAACAGAAAAAAACCATAGAATAACGATGGACTGCGGTGATGTTTAGTTAATTTTTGAAGACTGCCAGAGTTACAGGGACTAGACTCTCAAACAAAGTATCCCTACAGACTTGTAGCAATGACATAGAATGACGTAGCGGATGGCAAAACAGTTTAAGCACAGGATAATTATTTGTATCACTGTAATCTCTCCGTACCCTAACTAAACGCGTAATCGTTATTAAGCACAATGGCCTCGCGTAGCAGAAAATTATAACTGGGCGAAGATTCCCATAAACTGGCCATCGCTCAGGTAGTGATAACGATAGTTAGCCAAGGAGAAGAAGAAGACCCACACTCGCGCTGTGGGAACATGTTTACAATGGACGACGTTTCCTTTCCCATCGGTCCTTGCAACATTCTCGAACGTCTTTGTCCATTGTTATCTGACAGACAGGTGAAAGATCCATCAGTACCTTTGGAAACCAACTTGATTCAAAAAGGTGCACGCATATCAAAACGGATACTTACTCAAACAGTGCGATTATCTTAGACATCCTGGCAATTGAAATGATTTACGTTCTAAGTATTGAACACTGTTTCGAGTTTGAATACTACTACTGAGTTTTTTGAGTTGTGAATCGATTACTGTATCATAATCGATTACCGATTACATATCGATTGGTTGATATTGTGTAACTTAGATATTAAAAAAAACCCTATCCCCACGTGTCTTTTATGGTATTTCACTTGCGGCTAAGCAACGCTTCGTGTACTTTGTGATTTAGGAGGACACTTTTTTCGGAATACTTAGTGCCTGTTACAATGTAAATGCTGTACGTTATCCATATTAGTGTATACTGTACTATAAATTGAAGGTTTAATCGTTTATCATCATTCAAATAAAATACTGCACACGTTATGTTCTATTAACTGGGTTCCAGTCGTCTATTGGTCATTTCTGGTAATCCCACAATAAAGACTGCAAGTATATAATGACGGCTTTTAGTGTTAAAAAGCCAGTTTGTACAGTTTTATAGTAGGCCTTCGTAAAAAAAACAAAAAAAAAACACGTTTGTTATGATTTTCTGCAATCAGTTCCAGCTCCTTAAACTCAGAAATTCGTTACGTGGCCTGAACGTGGTTCCAACTGAAACACAAACAAAACCGTTTATATAAATACAAAACAACAGTCGTTTATGACAAGGGGTACCAATCGACGACCAATCAAAAACCAACTCTGGACTCCCGGCACGTAGAGAATCAATTCGGTCTATTGCGCTGGAAATGGGGTACAAATCTTCGGTAGCTACGTAACAGACCTGCTATTGCTTCCCAATTAAAAAAGGAATGAAAATAATTAGTTAGGTATAGAGTATATACCCAAAACTCCATTTATTTCAATTATTTCTTTCAACGATTTGTTTGCCTGTACTTTTAACTTAAAATATTCTTCTAGCTCCAAACATAAAATCAATGTTTAAATCAAATCGATTTTCAAGTGAGGAGGATTATTTAATGCCTACTGTATACTAATTGGTAACACCACGCTGATTCCTCAAGTATTTTGATGTAGACCTCAACACAAATAACCTTAACTTATAAGTCATATAGGCATGATAGCCTAACTTGATTGGTTAGCCTACCAGCATGTAGCCGACCATTTCGTAATTAACCATTTTTTACTTCGTATGTGTTGTATTTTATAAGCATCATGTTCATTGTTATTCGTATATTTATCGATAGGCTTTGTGTTTAAAAATGTATGGGATTGTTGCATGGCATGGGTGTAGGCTAATTTTGTTATCAGTGCTGTCATAGAAATCCTGGCAATTGAAATGAAAACCAGTGTTAAATAACAAACGTTTTGTACTCAGCGTTTTGATTCAACCATCAGGCACTCAATAAATAAGTGATGTAAGAATTTTGAAATCTTGCTTGAATATTATCATATAGCCTACTACCCCTACTAACCTATATACAACAAATATGTTACCTGTATCCTAAATCGATCACGAAAAGGGAATTTTCTTTAGTCAATTCATTTTACGGTATTTTAAACAAGCTTTGCATTTTTTGGGTGAAAGTAAATAGGGGTATGAATTCGTTAAACCGTAAAACGGAACGTGTTTATCGTAAAACATTGAGAGTCGATCGAGCGTTTATCAGACTGTTTTAGTCTACGGCATTTATATACGGCAGTATAGGTACCCAGTGATTGAGTGTATCACTTGACCTCTTTAAATGATGTGTCCGACAGTCAAACACATACTGTAGGCTACAGGTAGTGAGTGATACGGGTAGTCTGGTCCACCCCTGGCCAACACGTGGAGATGAAATGTTTTTAATCGACAATCTTTTTCTACGAAAATAAATGTAGTGTTGTGACAGGTGACATGTTGTTTGGAAGTCGTGTGTTATTTTTGACCATTCTCACTTCCCACTTGTCAACAACGCTTGCTCGGTGTTTCTGATGGGAAGGAAATTACACTTTTTGTATAACGTTATTGTCTATACAATTTTGAATACACCTGATGGTTTGTAACGATTGACTGATCTTATCAACGTTTCTTGGTAATCGTGGACGTTCTTTTAGATTTCTGTGTGATATTTGTAGGCCTACTCAGTAAAAATGCGTGTACTATAACAATAGTTGCTGATAATGATATTAACATGTGAGCGTTGACACATTGTATTAGTATATCAACAAACAAATATTCTTCGTTGTAAATTATTTTCTGTGCAATCACACAGAAGAAGTAGTAAACAGAAAAATTAATTCCTAAAGACATCATGCAACTTATATGATGTCGTTTGCGTTGTTATATAAATACAGCACATCATCCCAGAACAGCCTATTTTCGAATAATGCCAGTCCAGTACTCCAGTACACACATATTTATCTACTGAGCAACCAGGCAATGCTGCCAACCCAACCGAGGTCATTCGACCATTGCAATGTCAGTGCAACCCAGGTGTACCAACATTCATCTGCGCCTGC